TTGTCTCTCTTTCCTTGGGTGGGGTGGAGGAAAGCACAAATTGAAAAGGCTGCCATGGATGCAGCCAAGCCACTAGGTCCCTCTGCAATTCCAAGCACCGCTTGCAGAGTTTGTGTGCCAGAGAAGCTGGCGAAAATAAAAGACTTTGGCAAGGCCCGAGTTCCTCGCATGCTTTTTTATTATTACAAAGTGCCACAAGTCTGAAACGCTGCCTGGGGTGCCTCTGAGCCACCCGCCTGTGAGCGTGTCCATGCAGCTGGGCCAGAGCTAGGCTCTTTCCCAAGGCACCTGCTCCCACCACCTCTGTGACTGCCGAGAACAGATGCCTGGGGCAGGTGAGTCAGCCGTCCTTCTGCCAGGGCCATCTGGGGAGCTCAGCATCCTGCTGGGGAGATTGGACTTGGGCTCCATTTACCTGTCTGCCCATCCTCCTTTCAGGTGACTCCTTCTGGTCAGTAGCTGCAGTCATGGAATCATAGAATTGTAGAAAGAAGGGACCCAAAGGACCATCTAGTCCAACTCCTGGCAATGCAGTCTAAGGTCATGTTTCCAACCCACCAAACTACGGTTTGGATAATCAAGAAACAATCTATATGTTCGTGCCCTCCCCTGCCCTATTCCCTCTCAGTGCTTGAGGTCTGGGAGGAGGGTCTGACCTTACCTTTTGCGATGCCCACCCAGCTACTGTTTTAAAAATGAGAGTAACACGTAGTTTGACAAAAATTGGGATGGAGTCAGGGTGGGGCTTAAGGATTTCATTAACCCCTCCCCCAATGCACCCTTCACACACACACACACCCCTTTACATTGTGCTCATCTTTACATTTTTTGACTAAACCACAGTTTGCTGTTTAGTCCAAACTGGCAAACCATGGTTTGAGCAATCCTTTAAAAACCAGTTTGGTCCTGGTTTCCAATCCTGGTTTAGATGGATTCCTCAAACCTGCTCTTGAATAGAATGGGGCACACTTCCAAGTAGCTTGGGGTCACTTCCTATCCTACAAATCTTTGATTCTCAGATTCTGTGAAACATTCAGGGGACTTACTTTCCGCCTCCAGACATCAGCCCTCCTTGGGATCAGAGGAAGGCAGAAGAAGGCGAAGCATATTGAAATCTGGCCTTCGGACACCCCAAGTTTCGGTTGCTATAGTGCCTCCGAAATGCCTGGCAGGATCTTCCAGCAGGCACAAGCCAAGGACGTCAATGCTCCTTTAAACGAGCCTGGCTCCTGTGCAATGGCAGATGTAACCCATCAGCTATCACGGCCAGGTTCTTTTTTATTACAGAAGCTATAATGTTCTGGGCAAAGAGGGCTTCTCGCCACTAAGTACGAGAGCAGCTGCCTGGCTGCCCTCCTTCCAATTCAGTGCTGTTCCAGTTGTGCTGTGTTATTCACATTGGCAGCTTGGTGGCTTGCGGTGGCCAGAGGTGTGCCTGCTTGCCAGGGGGTGGGGACCATGGTGCCCATTTATGAAACACGAGGGAGAGCTTTACTTAAGACAGACTAGTAGCAGGACACATGAATGGTTCCTTGGGCTTAAGCATTTGCTGTAAGTAATTTCTACAGCTGATTTACAGCTCATGACCCCAAAGCCAGGTCCTCCCCTTCCCTTGAGGGAGCATCAATTGACCCACTTCCATGGGCCAGCTCAGAAGCAAGAGAAATAAGAGAGATAATAAATGGGGAGGGTGTGGTGGAATTAGTCCATGGATGCAGGACAAAAAAGAGCCCACTGGATTAAAAGTCCAGCACAAGCACATTTTTCATTGTGCCCTTTCACCGCAGATAAAACAGGCAGCTAAGTTTAAAGAAAATGTGGTTAAACTACCCTTTTACTAATGCATTCCTATTGTTCAGGAAAGGGGTTTTGTTTTTATAAAAAATGCAAGCAGAAAAGGAAAGCCATGGACCATCACCCTCCATTGACCTTGGAATAAAGCAGAGTTGTTAACCTCCAGCCCTTTAGATGCTGCTGGAATACATCTCCCATCATTTCCAATTATAGGCCATGTTTGCTAGGACTGATGGGAGTTGGAGTCTGACAACATCTGGAGGATCACAGTGTAGCCACCTTCCCCAGTATAAAGTGATTTGAGTGTTTGCATTCATAGTGTGCAGGGTGCTATGTGATTGGCCTTTATTCCACCCTGCCTTCTATAAATGAAACGGCAGAGCCATCCAGCGACTCAATGGCTGGCTAGGTTTTGAACAACAGCCTTCCCAGGCAGACCCAGTAACTCCTTACTAAAGTTGCAGAAAGTGTCCTGCAAGACCTTTGAACTGAATTCAGTGCATTGGCCTTTGGTTTGTTCAAAGCTCATCCTAAGAATCTTTCCCAGCGGGGGGGGGGGGGGGACAATGAGCTTGTAATTGTTTATCTATTTGAAGAAGCCTCAGTAACCATAAAGCAGCAAAAAAACAACAGCCCCTCAATTAAAATGCAACATCAAGTTTCAACTTTGGCTAAAATAAGAGGATAAAGAGAGGCCCTGCTAAAAATACATATTTCTTATCAGGAAGTCACTCGAAGCCATTTTAGTGCCTTTCAAGCACTTTTCCAAAATATGTAAATACGTGCTTTGGCAGGCCTCTTCTGGCAGCATTTTTGGTTAGGCGGGGGGGGGGTCACAAACAAGAAGGCTTTGCTGCATTCCCCAGTCCTCACATGCGTCCTTATCTTGTTTGCTCAATGTGGAGAGAAGGAATGTTAAGCAGAGCATGTTGTGCTGATCTTAACAGGGGCTGGACTCTTGAGCAAGTTTCTTATTCGTTTGTCTATTTTCTACTATTTTGAATTAGGAACATACACTGAGTCAGTCTAGCTCAGTGTTGCCTACACTGGCTGGCAGCAGCTCTCTCCAGGGTTTCAGGCAGGGAGCCTGCCCCCTGCCCCACCTGGAGACGCTGCTGTGGATTGAGGCTGGGACCTTCTGCATTCAAAGCAGGTGCTCTGCCGCTGAACTAGGGCTGTTCCTCCCACATTCTGAGATATACTGCCTTGGACCACTGAGGCTCCCTCTGTCTCCAGATGTTCACCGCCTTAAGGGGAAGCTGGGCCTGGGCTTGAGACATTTGCTCCTTCTACCAGACACATCTGGGAGCCTGCTGCACTCCTCTCCCATCCCTCCGGGGTCAGGAAGGATCACAGCTCTGCTAAACAAACACTTCATCAAACTGTCCTCCGGCCAGGGGTACAGAACACATTGTTCACGGTTTATACCGTTGTAAACTTTTACAGGGTAGGCGCGGAGAACATTTCCAGTAAAATACCGAGCCACTCTCTTCTATTCTTGGCCGGCCCTTAAGAAGGGCTCTTGAGTGCTTTGTAGCCGCTGATTTACTGGCGATTTCGGTTTTTTGTTCTCTTCCTTGCACACTATTTAGCAACTTGCTCGACGTAGATCAGTCTGGTCCACAGCGGTGACTGGATCCCAAGTTTTCCAGCATAAGAGGAAAGGCAGGAATTGTAGCAAGCGGGGACTATTGCAGCACTGGCAGATGACTGAGAGGAGATGTTGCAGAGGTGAAACGACTACCTTTGCAGAAACCGGTGTAATCTCCATAAAGGATTAGGGTGGCCCTTCTGAGCTTTATTTATCTCTCTTTTTGTGGATTCCTTGAGAATTGCTGGCGAGTGCTGGTGAATGCTTAATAAACTTCCTTTTCCAGAACCCTCAGTGTGGTGTAGTGGTTAGAGTGTTGGACTAGGACCTGGGAGAGATCAGGGTTCAAATCCCCACTTGGGCCATGAAGCTCACTGGGTGTGATGTTGGGCGCTGGTCACACTGCCTCTCAGCCTCTCCTATCTCAACGGGGTGGTTGTGGGAATTAATTTCTGGTCTATGACTGTAATAAATCCATTCGTTCATTCATTCGTTGCAGTGATTAAATGAGGGGGAAGGGGAGCCATGTACATCACTGTTTGGCCAAAAATTTTGTCAGTCCATCTGCTGGTGATGATAATGGGATGTGGAAGGTGGGGAGATATAGGAGCCTCCTTTTTCTGTGAGTCTTGTGTTTCCTGTTGCTGTCCTCTCAGGGTTGGCTCCAGTAGGGACTACCTCCTTGCCTTGTGGACTTTGGCTCTGCGCCCAGTCCACACCACTGTCCAAAAGAAGAGGTGAAAGCAGGTGGAGGCTTCTGCAACTCCATGTTCAGCGCTTGGACATGTCATCATAAGAAGAGTTCTGTTGGAACAGGCCAACGGCCCATCTTGTCCAGCATCCTGTTCTCACAGTGGCCAACCAGATTCCCTGTGGGAAACCCACAAGCAGAACCCAAGTGCAAGAGCTCTCCCCTCCTGTAGCTTCTGGCAGCTGCTGATTCAGAAGCCCTGCTGCCTCCAGCTGTGGAAGCAGAGCATAGCCAACATAGCTAGTAGCCATGAAGGCAGCAACAGCAAATATGGGCCACAGACACAAGGGGTCTGCGGTTGGCACCCTGCCAAGGTGTGGCCCCCAGCAGTTGCCTAACAACACCAAATGCTTGGCACTGGCCCTGCCTCCCATCACCGTGAGCTCTGGCCTTAAAGCAGCTCTCCCTTTAGCAACGGGCTCATCCTCCGTCCGTGTCAGTTTCAAATGCGGAAGCCATGACGGCATGCACAAGTTATGCGTCTCCAAATGGGAAGCCGACACCCCTTGCCTTTGCTATCTCCATCTCTTTTTTTATACTGTCTGGCTCAAAGCTGCTCTGGTCCGGCACGGTCCGTTTCTCTTTTGAAGTGCAGGTCATGCCTCAGTCATGGGTTGGCTATCTTTTTATATTCACAATCGAGATATCTTTGCACAAAATCCTGGCGCAGAAATCCTTTCTCGAGCACCCCGGATGAAAAAACTCCTGTGTTTGGGTCGGTCGGTGTCTTTATTTTTAGCCCGTTTGCTGTCTGTGTGGTGTTCCTATTGTGAAGCACCAGGTTTTTAAAATAGCAGCAAAAGCGCCAGCATAGTTAACTTGCTCCCCAATCTCTTCTTTTCTTCCTTTTTTTCTTGGTTACAGGTGGCTGGAGGTTCAGGTGGACAATCTGACCTGCACTCAGCGCTGGGTACAGTACCTTAGGTTGCTCCAGGAATCAATATGGCCTGGTGGGGTCTTGCCTGCAGCCCCCAAACCACTCAGAACAGAGGAACAGAAGGCTGCAGCAGAAAGGCAGGCCTTACAGATTCTCATGGGGATTCTGCCTGGTGAGTGAGCTGATTTCCCCCCAACCCTCCTTGCGGGTGAAACAAGAGTCTTAAGAGTCTGGGTCAAGATGATCAAGGGTCTGGAAACCAAGCCTTATAGGAACAGTTGAGGGGAGCTGGGTATGTTTGGCCTGGAGAAGAGGAGACTGAGAGGTGATGTGATAGCCATCTTCAGATATCTGAAGGGCTTCCACATGGAAGTTGGAGCAAGCTTGTTTCCTGCTGCTCCCATGAACCAATGGATTCGAGTTACAAGAAAGGAGTTGATAAGAGCCATTCAATAATGGAACAGACTCCATAGGAAGTTGCTGGACTCTCCTTCATTGGAGGATTTTCAACAGAGCTTGGGTGGCCACCTGTTGGGGATTCTTAAGCTGTGATTCCAGCCTTGCAGTGGGCTGGACCACATGAACCTTGCGGTCCCTTCCAGTTCTGTGATTCTATAATGAACTGGTGCTGCATTCATGGTGGTGTAGAACTCCCAAGCCCATCTTAAACTAGGTTTTCCTTTGCTTTATGTATTGAGCACGACGGAATAGGTCTGTTGGATCAGAGGTACTGGGTGGATACCAGTTTTCACCTGGCCATCATGGGTGGGTCCAGTTTTTACCTAGTTGCATCAGAGGGAGAGTTGAGACAGCAAGGCTGTCTTCACCAACCTGGCTAAGTCTCATGCCCTAGGGGTTCCGTCTTTGTCAGAATTGCCTCTTTCAGCAGCCATTCCATCTGGCTGCATCCGAGGGAGGGGCAAGACAACGAAAAGGTAAAAAAGGTAAAGGAACCTTGGATGGTTCAGTCAAAGGTGACTATGGGGTGCAGCACTCATCTCGCTTTTCAGGCCAAGGGAGCTGGCGTTTGTCCACAGACAGCTTTCCAAGGCCAGCGTGACTAAACCACTTCTGGTGCAACGGGACATGTGACGAGTGCCATTGCGCACGGAAACACTGTTTACCTTCCCGCCACTGTGGTACCTATTATCTACTCGCACTGGCGTGCTTTTGAATTGCTAGGTTGGCAGGAGCTGGGACAGAGCAACGAGAGCTCACCCCGTCACGCAGATTCGAACCACCAACCTTCCGATCAGCAAGCTCAAGAGACTTAGTGGTTTAGACCACAGCGCCACCCGCTCCCTAGTGCAAGACAACAAAGCCCCTCATGTCAGACGAGACCAATTGCCATTTGGCTTCTGACTTCTCAGAACTTCCTCTTCCAACGACCATTTCACATGGTCATCGCTTAACTTCACTATGCAACAGCGTGAAAGAGTTGAATTTATCTGAATTTGCCTTCCCCCAACCCTGTTCGTTTCTTCCACCTCAATATCATATATTTTTGATGGCAAGTCACCTTTAGTAGAACCATGACCTCTACAACCCTGATCTGATCTTTGATCTAGGGACATTAGACAGTGCTTCATCCAACCCCAACTGGGTCCCTCCAGGTATTTTGAACTAAACTTGCATCATCCCTGACCATTGGCCATATTGTCTGGGGCTGATGGGAAATGTAATCCAAAGCAGAAAGCCAATGGTGGTGTAACAGGACCTGGAAGCCAGTGTAGGATCTGGAAAAGACCAGGGTTCAAATCTCCCCACTCAACCATGTAGCTCAGGGGGTGACCTTCCACCTGTCACTGCCTCCCAGCCTAACGTCACAGGGTTGTTGATGTGGGGGTTAAATGAGGAGGAAGAGAACCGTGTATGCCACCTTGGGCTCCTTGGAGGAAAAGCTGGGATATAAATGCAATAAATCAGCAGTAGAACATCTGGAAGGTATCTGGATGGAGAAAGCTGGTATAGTCACTCAAGAGGCATTTGTCTCCTGGTGATATTTATTCAGTTCTAAACATATTTTTGGTATCCAAAGAATTAATTCTCGCTGCATACTCCTCCATGTATTGCACCTTGTATTGTACTGCAAGGTCCACATTGTACTTGGGAATTCATGCCAACCTCTGATGTCAACAGAATTAATCCTGGAAATCCTTGGGACCAGTAAATGTCGACAGAGTTGGAGCCTAGTCCTGGAGTCCATGCAACATCCTATCATAAACAGGTAACCTTGGCAACATGGCATCATTGCAGATGAATAAAGACATGTGTACAGTGGGTAGCTTAAGAAAAACCAAAAACCTTGCATCAAATTGCCCAGGGATCATATGGAATGCTTTGCTTTAGCAATACTCTGAGATGCGCCAAGCTGACCCCTGGTGCGTCTTAGGTGCTGGTGGGGGGACAATCAGATTAATCTAACAAAAGAACAAAAGAAGAGCCTGCTGGATCAAGCCAGTGGCCCATCTAATCCAGCATCCTCTTATCACAGGGGCCAATCTGGTGGCCCTGTGAGAAACCCTCAAACAGGACATAAGTGCAACAGAATATTTGAGAGAGAAAAGGAACATGTGTGAGTGCCTTTTTGCTATGTATTGTGGGCACTAAACTTAGCTATCCTCCACGCTCTGGATCATCCATAGCTGCCATGGGTATACTTTGTGGTGTAGTGGTTAAGAGCGGTAGGCTCGTAATCTGGTGAACTGGGTTCGAGTCTCCGCTCCCCCAAATGCAGCTGCTGGGTGACCTTGGGCCAGTCACACTTCTCTGAAGTCTCTCAGCCCCACTCACCTCACAGAGTGTTTGTTGTGGGGGAGGAAGGGAAAGGAGACTGTCAGCCGCTTTTGAGACTCCCTAGGGTAGTGATAAAGCGGGATATCAAATCCAAACTCTTCTTCTTCTGTATTGTTGCAATAGCTGAGCATCTCATGTTTTCCCCAAAACAAAAACAAAAGCTGCAATTTATAGTGTTCTGCCAAGTTGATTTGCAGATCAGACCAAGGGAGCTGGCAATATCATCTCTCTCCTAGGAAGGAGCTAGTTCTGTTTGAGGTGGGAACTGGTTTCTTCTTTATAAGTCCTGGGGGAGATGGGGAGGGGGTTCCTTTCTCCACAAGACCTCACCTTATGGACAGCACTTCTCCATGGCTCCTCTATATGCACTGCTGTGCTTGGCAGCTCATTGATAGGACGTACAGATAGGAAGAAGGGGGGAAAATCTAGGTCTTACTTTAGGGCAAAGAAGGACTTGACCATTGGCCCATTGGCCCACCTAGCTCAGTACTGTCTACACTGATTGACAGCAGCCCTCCAGGGTTCCAAGCAAGTGTTTTTCTTAGCAGTCCTACCTGGAGATGCCAAAGATTGAACCGAGGACATTTTGCAGGCGACATGTGTGCTCTCGAGCTCAGTGGTGGTCATTCCCCAAACCAGCCGATTCAACAGTATCCCTCACTAGGGCACAAGTCATCCAGTATTTCTCCCTCTTCATTGTAGTCTGTATTGAGCTCAGGCTGTCGCCTTTTCACCAGCACAGGCCTTCATGCATGGAATATCCCATAGTCTTTCCAAGCCCCCTTAAAGTCCTGTGTTTTTCTTTCAGGCACATGGTTTACTGCCTCGCAGACATCCTCCTGGAATTTTTGATCCCCGATTCCCAAGTGGATGAATCCAAAGCAACATCCGCCATAGGCACTCCTGCCTGTGGAGTGACTGAGAGAGCGGGCCCTTCAACTCACTAACTCAGAATGGCTTTGCTAGCAGTGGAGGAGAAGTGTGTGTGTGTGTGTGTGTGTGTGTGTGTGTGTGTGTGTAGAGGTGAACCCCTAGGTATCAATTCTTGGCATTTCATTTCTGTTGGACTGAGTCATGGGCCTCTGCTGATGAAGGTGCACAAGACTGGCTGCTGAAACTAAGATGAGTGGTCCAAAGGTGTTTACTTGTACTGTAAAAATAGTGTCCATTCCATAACTCAGGAGAGCTCAGGAGCAGCTCTTGATTAGAAGGTATCCTCTTCTTATAGAGGTGAATAAGCTTGAGAATGGGACAAGACCTCACTGGGATTCCTGGATAGATGTGATTTCACTTCTTGCATGTTGTTTTTTTAAGCTACGTTCAAGCTAGTAAGCTTCGACACTCCCAAGACTACATGCAGATATATGGGCATTCCATTTCATGATCTCTCCCCATTTTCCTTTACACAACATTATGCTCAAGAGTCGGAAATCAAATGTTTAGTAAATAAAAGAAAATAAAACTATCCTTTATTTGGTGTCTATTGTCCTTGAGATTCATGTTGTCTCTTAAAGCACAAAACTACCCAAGGAAAAGTTATTTTTCTGTCCAGAATGGTTGGAATCAACTTGAATCAGTGGTTTCTGCCAGGCAGTTTGCAAAACTCAGGGAGAAGCTGGAACATGGGTAGGCAAACTAAGGCCCGGGGGCCGGATGTGGCCCAGTCGCCTTCTCAATCCGACCCACGGACGGTCCGGGAATCAGCGCATTTTTACATGAGTAGAATGTGTCCTTTTATTTAAAATGCATCTCTGGGTTATTTGTGGGGCCTGCCTGGTGTTTTTACATGAGTGGAATGTGTGCTTTTATTTAAAATGCATCTCTGAGTTATTTGTGGGGCATAGGAATTTGTTCATTTTCTCTTTTTTTCAAAATATAGTCCAGCCCCCCACAAGGTCTGAGGGACAGTGGACCGGCCCCCTGCTGAAAAAGTTTGCTGACCCCTGAGCTAGAACCTTAGCAAAATCCTTGACTCCGTCACTGGCTTGCTTGAAACAAGATGATGCCATTCCTTTCGTAGCTAATTGGGGTGGTTCTTCCTACTTTCCTATGAAGGTCTGCTGCAAGGCTGGGATCAAAGCTGTTGTAGTTTTATTTATACCCCGCCCATCTGTCTGGGTTTCCCCAGCCACTCTGGGGTGCTAGTGGGTCTGGATCCATCGTACACAGGTGTACCCAAGCGAGCCTGGGAACGAGTCCCAATACCTCCCTATACACAGATTCTTAAGTGTGATGCAGGCCATCTTGTTCCTGTTTGTACCGATCAAGTAAATTCAAGCACACTTGTGATGGAATGACAGTCTGAACTGAATGTAAGCAGTATCCTGGGGGAAATGGGAGTTGGTGTGTACCGAAGGATGTGCAAATGGATCACTAATAGACAATACAGTAGTTGGATTGTTAAAACAGCTGGTCAACACCAAGGAGGCCCTGTCAGAAGTCACCACCTACTGGACAACCCCCACTGGCAGGACCACCAACAGAGACTCCTGCCAATCATAGAGCTCAAGATGTTTGATACTGGGGAAGGTGCTGTTTTAGGTACAAATTGCAGCTGCAGGGGCCCAATCAGGACCAGGCCAAGCAGTTAAAGCTCCCAACCCCTGATGGGGCCATGACTCCTGCACCTGCAATTTACATTTTAGAAACCATGTAGGTGATGACTAATGTGTTGCCTAGTGATTGACAGGAGTCAGGCTTGTGTTCTAGGCCAGCTAGAGCTTCTGACTAATCTTCAAGGCAGAACCACATAAAGCACATTGCAATAACCCAGCCTGCGGCCAGGGTTTGATCACTGGGGAAGGACTGGCTAGGTAGCGCAACACAAGAGGGGCTGCATTTTATTTCAGAAAGTTTGAGCCAAGAATTAAAACAATATTAATTTTATTTTAAATTGAGGGGGAACCCGATACGGCAAAGTGCTTGGGTCATATATTATTCCAGATTAGACATGCCACAGAAAGATCCCAGATGCTGTCGGAAATCCATTACCTGCAACTAAAGTGAACATTTGCGCAACACATGATGTGGTATTAGCTGTGAAGGCCAAGTTCCCTTCACTAATATCCACCCCAGGCTAGACTGGGCCGTTTCCAGTGTCAACAGCTCTAAGATTAAGCACTTATCCATGCACAGAATGCTGTGTAATTAGTACCAGAGCAAACTGGGAATTTTGCACCAAAGAGGGGAATTGGCACCACTGCTGCGTCTCTGAGATATATATATATTATAGATCATGTGTAGGCCTAGTAAGATTTCCCAACATCTCCATGCCGGGAGGCTTAGCTTTGCTAAGATAAATGAACACTGCAATCAATGATACAGTAAAATAGCACCTACATTTTAATTGTACCTCTGTGCTGCCCCTCTTGTTCTTGAGGTTGCTAGTTTGCAGTCCAAAGACTGTGGGTTGGTTCACAGTGTACAGCTTGTGTGCAACAGATGAACAAGAATGCATTCTCCTGTCCACTGGGAATGACAGCAACCAGACCAACATGACCATCATGCAATAATAGTTACCTATGCCCTATACATGGGAAGTCTATATTTTATTATATTTTTATCTTACCCTTCCTCCAAGGAGGTTAGATGAGTACATACCCTCCAAGTGTCGCTATTTTCCAGGGACAGTCCTGGATTTGCAGAAGGTGTCCCGGTTTCTGATTGGATCCTGGAATGTCCCACTTTTACTTAGGACGTCCTTATTTCCATTGGACAAACGTTGGAGGGAATGGAGTTATGCGACCCCTGAGCCAAGGAGACACGTTTAGAAGACATCCGAAGGCAGCTCTGTATAGGGAAGTTTTTGTATGTTTAATGTTTTTATCTATGTTGGAAGCTGCCCAGAGTAGCTCAGGCAACCCAGTCAGATGGGTGGGGTATAAATGTTGTTATTGAATAGAACATCCTTATTTTCATCGGAGAAATGTTGAAGGGTATATGTGAGTGTACAGAACATCTGCCCCCTGCACACATCCCATCAACAATCTCTGAGATGGATTAGAGCATGCAACATGCAAGGACACCCAGTGAGTTTTGGGGCTAAGCAGAGATCTCACTCCAAGCCCAGTTACATGCACAGCGCACAACGATGATATTGGCTCCAAGTGCCCCATTCTTTTTGCTGAGGGTGCAGTCCCACATCAGATGCATTTTCCATGTGTAAGCCTTAAGCAAAAATTGTGTCTATCACGTGGCCATTGGGTAGGCCTGGAGAAGGTCTCCTGTGGTTTTGGTATTCAGAAGTATTCCTGCCCCCAACCATGGAGGCAGAGTATAGCCATCACGGCTAGTAGCCATTGATAACCTTCTCCTCCATGAAATCGTCCAATCCTATCTTAAAGTCATGCAAGGTAGTGCCCATCACTGCCTCCTGTGGGAGTAGCTGGGACTACTTACTTTTATCTGTCCTGAATCTTCCAACATTCCGCTTAATTGGATGTCCACAAATTCTAGTGTTCTAAGAAGAGGCAGAAAAAGCTTTCTCCCTCCACTTTCTCCATGCCCAATATAATTTTATAAACTTCTAGCATGTTGCCACTTTCTGTCAGATTCCTTCTATCCCCATCTCATTTCACGGCAAAAGAGCCGTCAAGTATCACTTGGCCAAATCCATCTTCCTTCCTGTTCCCAAGGCTCTCTTGGGTCGAACGGAAAAGAGGGGCACTCGACACCTGTTTTTGAAGAGGGCGAAAGTGGTGAGGATCAAAGACCATAAACATAAACCTATTTAAAACCCCTTTTTAGCAAAGCGTGCATATTTTCTCTCAAGTGCCGTGGCTCTTATAGAACCTCCTTGGCCATCCTTCAGCTTTCAAAATCAACAGAACTTAGCAAAGGAGACTACCTTGACCAAAGATGGCAGAAGGAAGTGGATGGGTGTTTAGCAGAAAGGATAAAAGTCAAAGCTGTTTGCTCTCCAAGGCTACTTTTCAATGCAAACCACTTCAGATTTCATACAAGACAAGCTGCAGCTCTCAAAACCTCAGCACTCTATTTGGGGGCTTTTAACTCTCCACGCCCCCACACAGTCCCTATTCTTTCCACCTCTAGATTGCACACATGCCCCCTTCTCCTAAAATGATAATAATAATGTGCACCTGTGAGAAAGTTGTTTTAATCCCCTTGTATTGCAGACTGTCTATTATAGCTGCCCACCCCACCCCAAAATGGACATTTTCTCAAGCCAGAAACTTTCAAGTAGTTTCCAAGGTCTCTGTTCCTGCTTTTATTTGCTGAATGCTAAATGTCCACATAGGATCACTTCCCTACCCAAGGGTGTGTGGAACCTGACCATGTAGAATCAGTGGTGGACCTACATTTGGGGGGCCCTGAAGCTTGCACTGTCACGGGTGGCCCTTAGCAACCAACAATTGAGGTCTGAGTAACCACTGTTAACTTCTTCACTGGGGTTGTTCCATGACAGATCACCATACCTTTACAACACATGTGCTACTAAAACTAGGGAATTGTTGAAATACAACAAGAAATTAATCAATTTAAGACATGTGACTCAAAGTGTACTAGACCAAACATTTTTAAGCAATGGGGACTAAAGTCCTCTGGTATTAGAGCCCCTGAGGCTTAAGCTTCATTAGTTTCATAGCCAATGGCCCATCTAGTCCAACATCCTGTTCTTGCAGTTGCCAACCAGATACCTGTCAGAAACCAACAAGCAAGACCCGAGTGCAAGAGCACTCTCCCCTAATGTGGTTCCCAGCAACTGAAAGCTTGTGAAATGTAACTCTTAAGCCATAGGCTATTAAAAGCCAGGTGAAAATGAACACGACAAAGGGGGGGGGGAGAGAAATGGGCTAAATCCTACAATTAGTGCCTAGGGTCTGAATCCCAAAATTCTAGGATCCACATTTGATGAGAGTTTGTGTTTCAATCCAACAGATAGTTCAGCTACTGCCGAAATGCAAAGTCTTGCTGTATTTGATCTTTTTGGTAGTCCAGTACCAAGGATTCCTAGCAATGCCCTTGATTTTCTTCGTATGACTGTCTCTAGAATCTGGAGGGCCATTTTCATTCCTCATTTGAGAACATCAAGAATGAAAGCAATGACCTTTCCCAGTTGTTCTCCTCCGCACTGCTTCCCACATGGACAACACACTGGGGGTGAGGGAAGGGAGTTCTCCCAGCCCCATATTTTCCATTTGAAGCTTGTGATGGCACTAAGGAAATGTCTAAGGTTCTCAGTGAATCAAGGTCTCACTAGGAGGGCAAGTTCCCACTGAGCTCTTGATTGGATGAGGATTGGGACAGTACTAAATCAATGCAAATTCATCACAGTTAATCCAAAATGGAGCCAATATGGTTTCAGAAAGACCTTGTTGAAGCTATCTGAAGTCCAATATTCTTGATCTTTTATTCCAAAATGGGTTGAAGGTATTTAAACCTATTAATCGGATGGATGGAAGTTTTCTGTTACTGGCTACCCAGAGTAGCAGTTTGGTGTGTCTTTTATTTGCTCGC